AGGGTAAACTATTAGAATTTTAAAACAGATTTGGGCTATGTAATTCTGAAAGAATAAACCTTTGGTGCTATATTTCTGTGATTCTGATGGAAAGACGTGTGCCCATACGCAATCCAGGCCATATCATGACTACTGGGTAATCTAGGCCCTGCTGGGAGCTACAAGCCGAGCTCAGAACAGCTTGCTGGACAAAAGAACGTTGCTTCAGCTGGCACTGTCCAGCCTTTGGTCATCACCCCAGCAGCTCCTGGAAATGTTCTGAGACCCCAGAAGTGGCCTCAGGAATCCGGTTTCCCCAAGGGAACCAGACTCTATTTTTCTGTACCCACCAGCTCCTAGAATAAGTAGAGTTCACTGCTGGCCACGTCTCCAAAGTGGTCCTCTGGTGGCTCCAGGCCCAGGCTGGGCCTCTGTAAAAGTAAACTTCAGAATATTCCAGGTCACAATCCATTGCCAAAGAGGGCGCTGACTGGGTGAGGGGGAGCAGTATATAGAAATGAACCACCTTCTTGTTTTAATTAACAGGGTTTTTCTGGGTGGTCATTTGTGTCTGAGAGCTACGTGTGTTTTGAAACTTTTTCTACATGATCTTCCTAGCAGACTTTTTTATAGCTATTTCAGTGGTGAATGGTTCAAACCATTTCCTTCCCTCTTAAAAAAATGTCTGCACAATTTGGGTTCCATGCAAAATGAACATTAGCAATAATACTTGAAGCGTGTCTGTGCCTTGAAGCTCCCAGACCAGTTTCCTGGGACTCTGTCCGCCTTTGTTATCAACTCCACATGTTCCGTTCGCTACACTTCTCATTGTGTGTAATTACTTCCAACGCAGGTGGGAGTGGAAGACAAAAGGTTTCCTTCTCCCCATTAAGAATCAGTGACGTAGCATTTTATTCACTAACAATGAACAGTCTGAAAAGGAAATGAAGTAACAATTCCATTTACAATAGCATCAAAAAGAATAAAATACCTTAACCATTTTTTTTTTTTTTTGAGGGCGAGTCTCACTCTGTCACCCAGGGTAGAGTGGAGGGAATGGTGTCATAGCTCACTGCAACCTCAAACTCCTGGGCTCAAGTGATCCTCCTGCCTCAGCCTCCTGAGTAGCTGGGACTACAGCTGCCTACCAACATGCCCAGCTAATTTCTTCTATCTTTAGTAGAGATAGGTCTTGCTCAGACTGGTCTTGAACTCCTGAGCTCAATCAATAATCCTGCCTTGGCCTCCCAGAGTGCTAGGATTACAGGCGTGAGCCACCACACTCAGCCCATAGCAGCATTTTTCATAGTAGCTAAAACATGGAGGCAACCAAAGGGTTCATCAATAGACGGATGGTTAAAGAAAATGTGGTGCATATATACACACAAAGGAACATTCTTCATCCTCATAAAGAAGAATATTCTGTTTTAGCAGAATATTCTGCTAAAGTATGGGTGAGCCTTGAAGACATAACACTAAGTAAAATATGCTGGTCACAAGAGGACAAATACTACGTGATTCCACTTGGATAAGGCACGTTCACAGGGACAGCGGGACACTACCAGCTGCCAGGGGCTGGGAGGAGAAGTAATGGAAAGTGATTGTTTAGTGCAATAGCCACCAACCTTCTGACACCTGGGTCCACTTTCACGGAAGACAGTTTTTCCACATACTGGGGTGCTGGGGTGGGGGTAGGTGGGACAGGAGTCAGAGCTCAGACCATGATGCTGTGTGGCCTGGTTCCCAGCAGCTGTGCAAGACAGCAGAGTTGTGGAGATGACGGCAGGGATGATGGCTCAACAGCAGGGATGTACTGAGCACCACTCAACTGTGTGCTTCAATGTGGTTAAGGCAGTAAATTTTGTTATACACACATATCTTACCACCATAAAAAAATTAGAGAAAGAAAGAACCAGTGACATAGAGGTCTCCTTTTAAAGTAGGTAGAAGTGTGTGTGTGTCTGTGTTTGTGCGTGTGAGAGAAAGAGAGGATGGTGATGATGCCGCCTGGTCCACATACCTCAAGCATAGACAAGATAGGCTTTTTTATTTAACATAGTTAAACATGAGAATGGCTTTTCTCTTCTCACATTGTTGTGGGGGTTGTTTTTGTTTTGCTTTTTGTTTGTTGCAATAGATGGCTTTATAGGGTTTGGATAAACTCAAATAAATCCAGGAGAGAGGCACGTCATGTGGCGTTTCAAGAAGTCTCTAGAAAGCAGGGGAGCTTGTCTTCTGTAACAGACGCAAAGCCACTGACTCCCGGCACCCCAGGTGTTGAGCATTTGGGGTGTAAGTTTACCTGTTCCTGACCCTCAAACACAGGAGTCACAGCATGAGTGAAGGAAATGAGCCTTGGAGGCTCAGGATGGATTCATGGTCATTACAGGTGCCTTCCAGGCCAGTAGCAGGAGATCCCATCCCCTTCAAGATCACTTCTGCTTATATCCCATCAGTCAAAACTTAGTCGTGAATATGGGGAGAGGGGAAGGGGAGAGGGAGGGGAGGGGAGGGGAGGGGGGAGCGCAGGTGGGTAGAGGGAGGGTGATTGGTGGGATCACGCCTATGGTTCATCCTATAAGGGTACATGTGAATCTCTCTAAATGTTTTAACACAATAACTAAGAAAAAGACATGAAGGCTATGTTAACCAGTTGGATGAAAGTATTTCAAATTGTATATAGAAACAGTACACTGTACCCCATGATAGTATTAATGTACACTGCTGTGATTTAATAAAAGAAAATAATAATAGTAATAAAAAACTTAGTCGTGTAACTATCCCAAGCTACAAGGGAGGCTGGAAAATGTAGCCTACACCAATAGGGCTCCTGTGGTCTCTGTTTAAAAAAAAAAAAATTGTCATTAGTAATGAAGAAGAGAGGAAGAGGTATTGGGAGGCAGGCTGTGGTCTGTCCCGCAGGTTGCTGTGTGATCTGGTGTAGATTCAAGGGCGGAAGAGAAGCTGGCCAGACTCCCAGAGCTCCTGCGGACCCAATAAGCATTTGGTAATTCTGGGATAATCTGCATTCCCAGTGTGATGAATGAATTCTAGTCTGGCAGAAACATTTAGTTTCACAGAACATGGTCCAGGGGCTTATAGGTAATGGCTGCTTCCAACTTTGTAGGAATGAGAGTCAGACCACCTTGCTGGATAAGTCAGGGCTCCATCTCAGCCCTGTGAAATCTTCCCAGACTGTCAGATACTTGTGTCATTGTGGGGCCCAGTATTTCTTTTCCTTGTTGGACAGATGATGGGGTTCCTAACCAGGCTGATGGAATCATCATCATTAAAGCCTCCTTTCATTTCGCTTTGTTTTTACACGCAATTCTCCCTCCCTTGATCTTAAAGCATATGAAAGGAGAGTTCACAGATCTCTGTGACTTCAAAAATTCCTTCAGTCTTCCGTTCCATTTTATTATCTCCAAATGCTTTGAAAATAAATTGAGGAAACAGTAATTATCCTCCCATTTGTTCTATAAATGTTCTCTGGAGGCTTATTTCGCAGTACTCTTTACAAAGTAACACTCTCTAGGAAGGAACTTGTATGTTTCCAGAGTGTTGTACATAATTTTTCCTTTTGCCATGAAAAATTAGGTATCCATAAAGAAGAACCAGAGGAGATAATTTACAGACTTTGCCTTTTTAGTAATTAAAACAGAAATTGTTTCTTGATTTCAATGGGTAGGTAGAAATCTATGTACAGAATCTGTTATGAGTTATCCTTCCTTCCCCAGGGAAGGATCTGTGTGTCTTTGGTTTGTAAGATAAGTGACCTCATCCTAGTTCTTCCCTAGATAAACAGATTTCCCAAAGCTAGCAGGAGTCACAGATTTTGATATAACATCTTCAGAACAAGAGTCCACTAGTGTTGACCAGGACTGTGCTTAGTGCTTCGCATCTCTGGGTCATGTGCTCAGGGAAACTGGAGCTCATAGGCGCTGCCTTCCTTCCGGACGCAGTGACCTCAAGGGGTCTGTTCCCACAGATGGCCCGGAAATGGCATGTGGCCCCTTGACCCGGAGCAAGACCCGTGCAGAACATGAGGGAAACGGGCCCTGAAAATAAAAGCAGATACTCTACAAGATGAACAAGTGAAGTGAGACAGTGGATCAGGGATGGGTCAGAACAGAAGGGAGCCTGGGACTGGACTCGAAGGTGGCAGGGAGCCCAGCTGGGGCAGGTCCAGCAGAATGAGATGACGAAGCCATCTCACCATCTACACAGGGACAGAACTGCACTCTGGAAACGTCTATGTCCCATCGCCATGTTGATCAAAGTAATAAGTCTGCTGTCCTTAACTTAGAATACCTCCTGGGCTAATTGATGTATTTACCAACTGACACGTGGCAACCCCTCCCGTTGACGCGCTAGGTGGTTCCTGAAGAGTTGTGAGTAAAGGAGATAGTTGTGAATGGAGCCGTATGTCAACGAGAGTGGAGAGGAATGGCTGTTTCCAACAATGCCGGGGGAGCGACCCTGAAACGCTGGCCTCCTATTGCCGCGTCTCTGCAGTGTAAAGGCCAGGTGGTCACAGTTAACCGAGGTGGGGTCTGAGCTCGTCAGGAGAGCACTGTGCACGGCGCCTTCAGTCCTGAGGAGTCACGGTTTACCATTCATCCCTCTGCGCCCTTCACTAGTCCTCGGAGGGAGTTGCCGCAGCATCTAACAACATAGCAGGAAACGAGAATAGTGCACAGTTACCATTTTCAACTCATTTTAAAAATCAAGCTAATTTTATATGTTGCTTTTTTAATGTAGCCTTACGTCTTATTTTACCTGATTTGGTAAACATTTCTCCTTTCCCTCCCCTTCCAAAGAAAGGACAGAGAGGTAGGGAGAAAATCACAAATCTTCGGGCCCACCCACCAGTCAGCTGCGGCGCTGAGCAGGGTGCAGCGGCTGGAGGAGCCCGGCCTGGCAGCAAGCGCTGCTGTGAGATTTCCCCGCCCCCGGCAACCTGCACCTGCGATGGCCCGTGCAGTCTCTGACCCATTCCTCCTCTGTGTTTTCTTTTCCAGTGTGTCTGTAAAATCCACCCAGTGCGCTGATGGCCAGCAACAACACCGCCAGCATAGCGCAGGCCCGGAAGCTGGTGGAGCAGCTCAAGATGGAAGCGAACATCGACAGGATAAAGGTGAGTGCGCATGCGCTGAGCGCAGGGCACCTGCTGGGGGTGAGGAGCGGGACGGCAGCCGTGGCTCAGTTCACTGCTCTTCCCTGTGGAGGGTGAAGCCAGTCATGACGGAGAGCAAAGTAATGATTAGGCAGAAGTGATTTTTCTAATATGTCTTCGCCTTCTCCAGATTCCTACAGCATGAAATGATAGAATAAATTAAGACTGGTTTTCCATGTAGAATTTAAAACAAGACATTAACAACAAAAAACTGGTTCATGACTGAATTCCAACCAGAGAAACTGGAGAATACATAAAACTTACCAACCCACCAGATCACCTCCCCAACCTTGCCGAGACCTCTTCTCACTTGGGTTTTAACTTTTTCTGTCCTTAGACTCTGAGATTCACACCTAACCCTTCTAATCGTCACGACAGGTTATTAATTTCTTTTTCTTTATTCTTCGTCGGATTTTTTTCTATAAAACACAAAAGTCACACCTAGCGTCCCTAAGAAGTCAGACAAGGCAAAGGTTTGATGACAGTTCTTTCTCTTACCCTCCCAGACCTAACCTGACAATGGTGCCCTGAGTCAAGGCTAATTCATGTTGAACCAAGACTTTAAATCCAAACGCTCTGTTGGTAGATTCTGAATGAAAGGTTGGCCATCCAGTGTCATTATTAATTACTAATCATACAGACAACTAGTGCAGGGTTGTAAAGTGAATTTATGTCACCCATCAAAACTTTACTACCCCAGAAATAAAATTTTTTGCCTAAGCATTATACGAAATACAACTCAGAAACACATCTCATTTTGCTATAATAAAACTTGAACATTCCTCCCAGTGCTTTTTATGTTCCTATTTTCTTCATACATGACTCAGCTGCTAGGCAATCCCACTGTCCCTGGAGGTGTGTGCAGGGGCCAAACTCTGACTCCTGGGCCAAATCAGCCCGCTGCCCATTGTTGAAAATAAAGTTTTATTGGAACACACTCCTTTACCTGTTCATGGCCACTTTCACTCTACACCAGCACAGTAGAGGAGTTGTAACAGAGAACTTAGGGCCCACAGAGCCTGAAATATTTACCCTCTGACCCTTTACAGAAAGTTTGCTGACCCTTGGCCCAAAGCGGTGGTTCTCAGCCCATCTGTGCATTCACAGCACCCAGAGAGTTCAATAAAAGGACTGATTCCCAAACCACACCTGACCAATTAAATTAGAATATCTTGGGGCAGCAGTCACCAACCTTTCTGGCACCAGGGACCAGTTTCATGGAAGACAATTTTTCTGTGGATAGGCAGTGATGCCAGTGACTGGAGCGGCTATGTGTGTGTGGGGGGGGCAGCTGGTGGCTGTAAATACAGATGAAGCTGCTTCCCTCAATCACCACCCACCTCCTGCTGTGCAGCCTGGTTCCTAAGTTTCATGAAAGATAATTTTTCCACAGACCAAGGGCTAGGGATGGAGGGGTATAGGGTGTAGGGGGAGCTCTGCAGCCCAACTCCTAACAGGCTATGAACTGATTCTAGTCTGTGGCACTGGAGTCAGGAACCTCAGTCCTGGAGCATGATCCCAGGCATCAGAATCTCTTAAATTTTTTCTGTTAATTCTAATGTATAGCCAAGGTGGAGAACTACTGTCCTAGGGGAAGGTGTTTGCCCCTTCTAACTCCCATCAGATGCAGGCTAGAGATGAAAGGACAGCTCATCTTCCTCCCTGAGTAAGCTGAGCAAATATCCGTGGACATTTTCCCATTTATCCTAAACGTTTACTCATTTGTGAAATTTGAGTCCCAGTGACAGGCCACAGCGTTCATCACTCCTCTCTTCCCTCAGCTGCTTTAATTCTTCTACATTCCTGAGCGAGATAAAGGGTCCTCACCAGCTGCTGTGCTCTGAGCCCCCTTCCTCTTCTCTTCTCTTGCCTCTTGTTTTTTACTTTTTTATTCCCTTGTTGAGAGAGTGAAAAAGTAGCCCGTGACAGATGGGGACAGCAACTGTTAGAGAGGTGAGGTAGCTCGAGGACCCCAGTGATCAGGAAGGGTCGTCCATCCCATGGGCCTCCAGAAAACACCTTTACCCTTCAGAGTGGCCCAACTAAGATTAGGGTCTGTGAACCCCCACTGTGGTTTGCGTTTCTGTTACTATTTAGTGTCCCAGGCACCGTTGCTGAAGGAGAATATTATGTGCTGATGGGGGATGAACACCAACAGCAGAAGAAGAGAACAGAGACGGACCTTCCCAGCAACAGGTCCTCACCCAGCACCTGCATCCCTGACTGCAGGTGGCTCCTCCCTGCTCTCCCCGTTCCCATCTCCATCTCTGCCATCAGTTGCCTTCCATCTTGCTGCCAAAGGAAAATCTCTTTTTGTTCCTCTGCCACTGAAAGTCTTTCCGTGATTCCCCATGACCTGTAATATAAAATTCAAACTCTTTAGCAATACATACGAGGTTCCGCTGGCCCCAGCCCGCCTCTCCAGCTTCATCCCCATCTGCTCTCCCACATGCCCTACTGAACCGCTTTTAATTCCCTTGATGGAAATTCCAAACGCCTGGAACATTCCACCTCTTTTGACTCTCCACTGTTCTACTTTACTAATGCTTAACTGCACTGCCTCCCTGAAGAGTCAGACCGTGTGTTGGGTTCTTTAAGAAGTTTCTGTGGACCCACATCATTGGATTGTATTTTCACTGTGTGTTCAGTTACGTATTCATGCTTTCTTTTATCTAATATTTTATTGAGAATTTTCTAAAGGCTTATGAGATTCTAGAACTAGACAAAAGACATGATTCTTGCCCTTAATCATCTCCAGTTTTAAAAATGATGAATCTATTTGAATCTATTATAGATTCAATAAGATATCCAAGATGCGTAATTACCAAATGTCATCAGGAAGAAGCCAGCACGACGCCTTGCCTGGCCTTTGAAGACCTAAATAAATCACTACTAAGAAAGACAAGCCAGTAGGTCTTCACCTTCAGCTCTCTGTGTCCCCCTTGACCCCGTCAGACCCGCAGTGGTTGGCAGTGCAGCACCATCCTACACTACAGCCTTCACTCTGCCCTTCGGGGCCAGCCAGCCACGCTGTGGGGAAGGGACAGGTTATTTTTAGTTTAGCTGTTGGATAAAATGTCATCTGTGTTGACAGAGTTATCAGCTAGCTGGTTTGGGGCTTGGCTATCTGCCTGTGGGAGTCCCTGGGCGGCTGCTCAGCACTCAGGCTTCTCCTCCAGCTTTCTGTGCCTCTCTCTGAAGGTCCCAGGTCTGTGATTTCTCTAGTGGCCTCTTCAAGCTAGAGGGAAGAACCTGGCAGAACGTACTGTGGCTGAGACAGCAGCAATAGGGCTCTCCGTTTTAAAGTTTCGGGTTAATATAAGGGTACATACAGTTAGGCGGCAGGGTCTGCATTTGTTGCAGCCCTTTGTCCGGGAGGTGTGCCACGTACCCCTACGTGGTACCTGGTCAGTGAGAGCTTACCACAGCCCCTCCCCCGCCCCACTTCCTCTTCTTTGAATTTAAATGTGTTTTTCTCTGGTGTGGGCCTGTAGTTGTTCACCTACTAGTTTCATATTAGTATCGAGTACATGGGATGCTTGCTTTTCCATTTTGTGATATTTTACTTAAGAGGATGTTCTCCAGATCCTTCCAGGAGAATATAAAAGATACGAAGCCTCCCCTTTATACAGCTGAATAGTATTCCATGGTAGACACGTACCCCAGTTATTAATCCATTCACGGGCCCTTGAGTTGTTTCCACATCTTTGTGATTATGAATTGAGCTGCTATAAACAGTCTAGTGCAAATGTCCTTCTGGGCAGTATCAAGTAATGGGGTATCAAATGGAAGATCTACTTTGAGTTCTCTGAGGATTCTCTATACTTATTTCCAGAAAGGCTGCATTAATTTGCAGTCCCACTAGCAGTATATCAAGGACAGGACTCTTTGTATGGAGGCATGGGACACAGCTGGCACTGGGTCTGAGGGTGGCCACTGGAGCAGCGGGTGGCCTTAACCCTCACATGGCCTCCAGAATAACTCCAGCTGTGTAGAGTAGCTCTGCCGAATCTGAATGAGGCGTTCATTTTTATTGTTTTATTTTGTTGTTCATGTTTCTTATCCCTTCACATCACGGATCTGGCAGATTTAGGCTAATGAACCCATTGCCAGTTCATAAACGTCTAATGAACCCATTGCCAGTTCATAAACGTCAGGCATATGTAAATTTCACATCCAGCCTTTCAGCATTTCTTTGTTAATGTTTCATTCAAGATGTAGAGTAAGGAGAAATAAAAGGAAACCGGCGAGAGGGTCAGGGAAAGAGCTGGAGAGGGACGTTCACTGAGACCCTCAGGCACATGGAGCTGTAACACCCTCACACTACCGCTGAACAAACACAAAATAAAAGACACTTGTCTCTATGGCACAAGGGGAGGGACACACACAAGAGTGGAGGGCAGCAGGGCCTCAGTAAATCTCTTGATTCATCTCTGTGTTAGGATTTCCACTTGCAGGAGCCCCACCCAAGCTAGATAAGCAGAACGAGGGGAGTGATAATAAAAGACACAGGACCTGCCAGAATCCAGGGCCTGAAATAAAACTGGGTGAGCAGTGGAAGTGGGGATGGGAAAGCCACCGGCAGCTCCAGCTCCAGCACATGACTCTGCTCCTCTCTGTATGTCCCCCTCTTCCTTCACTGGGAAGGCTAATTTCTCAGCCACTGGGCCCATGTGGCAGAACAAGGTGGCCGCCCATGGTTCCAAGGATCACCCCTCACAGCTCCAGAGAGAGACTGATTCAATCCCTGTCCATCTCCAGTCCATAGTCTAAGAGTGACATGTCTGTTCTAGTAAGAATGAGCCGTCTCCACCTTCAGTAGACTGACATTAGGGTTGGACCACATTCTCCAAACATGGCTGGTAGGAATCAACCACCCATGTGGATGGAAATCCCTGCAAGCTGGAAAGATGCTCTTTGATGCAGGATGCTATTAGGATTATATAAAATAATGTAGATAC